CCTTCCCACCCCTTCCGGGGCCGCAAAGCCAAAGCGGGGGAGGGGCTGTGCCCGGCGGGGGGGCCCCCTGCCATGCCGGGACAGAGCGACCGCTCTGGTTATTGGCTGCTGGGGGGGCGGTTCGTCCCAGCAGCCCACCGGGTCGGGGCTGTGCCAGTGTCCCCTGAGCCCGTCCCTGGCCCAGTGCCTGTGCCCGCTGCCACGGCCTTGGCCGACGGCCCTGGGGGCCCTTGCGCAAGGCGAGGGGCGGCTGCCCGGGGGTGTGCGCAGGAGGGACCCGGAAAATGCAAACCGGCACACGTGGCATGGCTTGAGCCGTGGTCACCAGCCTGCAGAGCGACAGGGCGTCATGGTAGCCGCTCTCCATCATTCACTGCTAAAAGGCTGCTGGCAAGTTAAAAATCCCTCTGCTTCAAACCTGAGCTGCTTTTCAGACAGCCTGGCAGATGAACAGGAGATGGGCAGAAATGTTTCCCCCATCGGCAGTGGCTCCCTGGGGGCTGCCCGGCCGTGCACCCACCCTGCGCCCACTGTGCCCTGCCTGTCCCTGGCCGCATTGGGTGCGGGAGGGCCCCGGAGGCAGCGCTTCCCACTGAGTTTGGGTTTTTTTTCCCCAATATGGGCCCTTTCTCACCTCTGCTTGCTCCTCCTGGGCTGCTGGAGGGAAGCAGACAAGCTCGGCTGCTCCTTGCGCGCGCGCACACACGTGCACGCTCACGCACACGCGTGACTTGCACACACCGCAGTGGCCAGTCCCCACGGGCTGTTGGCGCTGCCCTGGCTGGGGGGAGCCCCGCTGGGACTGGGGGCCACCGGCACCGCAGCTTCACCCCGGGGCGGCTCTCTCATGCCCGCAGGCTGCATCCTACTACTGCAACAAGCTGGGGTTCGAGGAGTTGGCGTACCGGGGGCTGGAGACCGGCAGCAGGGAGGTGGTCTCACACGCCATCAAGCAGGACAAGGTAAGGGGGCTGAAGCACCTTGCAGAGGTGCTACCGCCTGGGTGGAGGTTGGGGAGAGATGAGGCAGTGTCGGGCGTGCGGGTGCTGCCAAAACCTGTTTGCACCATTAAACCCCACGCCTGCAGTGCATTTGCCCCAGCCTGGGGGCACCACCACATCTCCATCCCTCACCTGTCCTCCTCTTCCTCGCCAGATCGTGTTTGTTCTCTCATCTGCTCTCAACCCAGGGAACGAGGGTAGGTACCACGGGGGTCTGTGGCGGGAGACAGAGTGGGAAAGGGCCGTGGCGGAGCAAAGCACCTCTGCTCATGCCCACGGCTGCTCTTGCTCTGGGCAGAGATGGGGGAGCACCTGGTGAAGCACGGTGATGGGGTGAAGGACATCGCCTTCGAAGTGGAGGATTGCGACTTCATCGTGCAGGTAGGCAGCCCCTCTGCTCCCTCCTGCACAGCACCCCAAAATGGCAAGGGGAGGTGGGGAAGAGCCTGGGAACGCCTCCCTCCCGCCCGGGGGAGCTGCAGCAGGAGGGGGTCTCTCTCCTTCTGCCCAGAAAGCCAAGGAGCGTGGAGCTGTGGTGGTGAAGGAGCCCTGGGTGGAGGAGGACAAATTCGGGAAGGTGAAGTTCGCGGTGATCCAGACGGTAAGCGGCAGGGCAGCTGCGGAGGCTGAGCCCCCACACCGGAGCGGGGTCCGTGGGAGCAGGCTGGACCCGGGAGGTCTCCGAAAAAATGAGGCCACCATGCAACCGCTTTCCCCTCTCTCGTAGTATGGTGACACCACCCACACCTTGATAGAAAAGCTCAACTACAAGGGCCTCTTCCTGCCCGGGTACCACCCGCCCCTCTTCAAGGACCCCCTGCTGCCGAAGCTGTGAGTACTTTCCAGAGGGTCCCACCTGGCTCTTTGCCACCGTGTGCCAGTGGGATGTCCCACCGAGGAGCCTGACAGGTCCCCGCTGCCTCGCCCCGGAGCCCCCCGCGCTGCGGGGTGCCCCTGAGCCCAGCTGAGAGCCACCCCCGGCTTCTCCCCACAGACCAAGCGCCAAACTCAACTTCATTGACCACGTTGTGGGGAACCAGCCCGACCTCCAGATGGTCCCAGTGGCAGACTGGTAAGAGTGGGGAGGGCTGGCAGGAGGTGGGATAGAGCAGCAGCACTGCTCTGCGGGTCTCACCGTTTCCAGTGATGGTGGCTGAGGCTAATTAAGCCAGAGCAGAACTTTGTTAGTGTGGGGATGGAGCAAGGGACTTGATCATGCCCTTTGTGGCCTGGGCAGGTACCAGAAGAACCTGCTCTTCCACCGCTTCTGGTCGGTGGATGACAAGCAGCTGCACACCGAGTTCAGCGCCCTGCGCTCCATTGTGGTCACCAATTATGAAGAGACCATTAAGATGCCCATCAACGAGCCGGCGCTCGGCAAGAAGAAATCCCAGATTCAGGTGAGTGGACGCCAGTGGTTGATCCATCAGGCCGCCGCTGCCTCAAGCGGGGCTTTGCTGAAGGAAAAGGGACCAAGGGGTCAGTGATGGGGAGCCGGCAGCCGTGCCGTGCTGTGCTAAGGTGGCTGCTAGAAAGCAGCTCTGGCTCTGCTTGGGTCTGCCAAGGGCTGCCAAACCCTGGGGGAGCTGCCGGGACAGTGCCCGTTTACCCCTGATCTCACCCCTAGTGTCTTTTTTTCATTTTGTGGTGTTCCTGAGCTGATTTTGCTTTCATGTTTTTAAGCCCACATTCAGCCTTTTGCACTGCGCTGTCACTAACGTGGTGACATTTTTTTCCCTGTAGGAATATATCGACTACTACGGAGGGGCTGGAGTCCAGCACATCGCACTGAACACCTCCGACATCATCTCGGCAGTGAGTGCAGCCCCGGGCAGCTCCCTGCCCCGGCCCGTCCTGCCATGGCACCACTCCACCTCCACCCCGGCCCGCTCCTCGTCACAGGGCGGTGGTGGACTGTGACCCCCATCGGGGTATGAGGACACGGGCAGGCTGAGCAGGCTTTGTGCCGTGGTTGTCTTACAACCAGGATTAACTGCCCAGCAAGTTGCTGGAAGGGGACCTGCCTGCACCTGCAAGCTGCTGGAAGATGCCTGTCCCTCCAGCTTAAAGCAATTGGGGTCTGCAGGGACCCTGATGGCACGTGCTGTCCTTGGAGGGTGGCTGGCGGGGAGGTCGGGCAGCCCGGGCTGCTGGGCTGAGCCACTGTGGCACATTATCCACCTTTGCCTGGGGCAGATGCTGGTCTGGATTGAGCTCAGCTGCTGTTGAGCACTTGGTTTTGGGCTCCTCTCCGGACCAAAGGCTCTCCAGAGGTATTGGGAGGTCAGGGTGGGATGAAGCATCTTTGCACGGTGGCCAACTCTCTGTATTGCCTGGAGAGGGCATCTTGGGCCCTCCCATTCCTGGTGCCCAAAGTGAGAGGGTGGGACAGGTTCCTGTGCACGATGTTGGCCAACATCATGGGAAAGTATCACTCTGCCCCCCGACACCGTCCGTCCCGGGCCATCCTCTCGGCACAAACCGCTCCACAAATGAGCCCCAAGCCCAACCCACACCAGGGTCTCCCCCGCCTTGCAGATCACCAACCTGAAGCAGCGGGGCATGCAGTTCATGGACGTGCCGTCCAGCTACTACCAGATGCTGCGGGAGAGGCTGAAAACTGCCAAAATCAAAGTGAAGGAGAACATCGACAAGCTGGCGGTGAGTCAGACCAGCCTGAGAGGGAAAAGGTTTGCCCAGGGCTGGATCAGCTTCCCAAA